GTTGCATTAAAATTTATATTCAATTAAAAAATTTACCTGACATATTTAAATCATTAGAAGAAATTATACAAATTTATTATTTTATTTGTATACGTATATTTGCAGTATATTTATTTTATTTTAGTTTTCAATGACTGATTTCATTTTCACAAGAGATATAGAATAGGTGGTTCTAAATTCTAATACAATAGAAAAGTAAAAAATAATACATTAATAAAATTTATATTTAATAATACCTACATGCAAATAATAGTAAAGAACTAGAACATTACAATCATTTTCTGCGCTTTTTCATTAGTGCGAATTATGTACTTATTACGTTAACAAAATCAATGGTTTGAGCTATCTGCTATGTTGCTTTCTATGCTCAATATGGCCAAATTTGATAGCCGGTCTTCAGTCATAGTTGAGCTAAGGCATGTTTTGAGAAGTTTTAGAACACTAAAACTTCTTTCTGCAGTAGCACTGCTGACTGGTAGTGTATAAAAAATTTTACACAAAGTATATAAATTTGGATATGAAGAAACCATGTATCGTGATATCATGAATTTTCAATACATCATTTAATTTTAAAGGTCCAGTTACTCCAGTTTCAATAGTTTTGCCATTTGTTAGTAAACTAGATGTAATGAACGGTATTCCACTTCTATATCAATTTCATCTATGTCAACTTCATAAAATCTTATATAATATCTATATCCAACATATTTTTATACTTGTGTAGTTGTGTTTATCGAATTTTAGGTACGTACATTATAAGTTGATAAGCTTAAACACGATTTCGTACTCGTTATTTTACTTCAATACTCATCAGTCTTCACAGCAGCTGTATATACGATATACCCCTATATCATAATAGCAGATCTTCGATATTTTGAAGGGGGGCACATATAAATTGTATAATTTTAATTTTAATTAATAATACATACATACTATCAATAATGATTATAATAAGTAATAATTAATAGTTGGTAGTATTATCCTTATCAACTGAATGTTTCATTTATATGATACTCGTAGTTACATAACAACTTGTCGACAGAAAATTGACAAGGGGCACGTGCCTCTCCTCTAAATTCACCACTGTACATAATTTTTTCAAATAAAAAAATGTTTATATAGTTTGCCATTTCGAGGGGCCACATTTAACTGGGAAAACAACTGTGGGTCAGCTGACCCCCCAAACCCCCCCCTGGGTCCGCCCCTGAATGTATATTTTAGTCTTAATGTATAATATTATGTTAATACTTAATAATCATTTTAACTTTTAAGATAAGGTTTCACGAGATCGCCTTATACGAATGTGGGTGAGCGTCTAATATAAGCAGACAATATCAACAGTATAGTCTCTACGTAGTTGACATGTAAAAGTAGGTAACTAATATTATTATAATGCAATTTTGATTGGTTATTATAATGAAGGCATGAAGCTCGACAATTTTTTTTTTACAGTACTTGGCTTACTAAATATATTTAATATTATTACGAATTATCGTATAAGTGTAAAAGAAATGACGTCACTATTATGTGGGTAGATCAAATATGGCATTGCTGTCAAACTGGTGAACATGTATTAAACGACACATAAACGCAGTCCATTCATTTTATGGTCACGCAATTCAATAAATTTCAAATCAGTTATTATTTCTATTAATCAAAATAATCAATGACCACGGCTAGGAAGTTGCTAAAAAAAAATGTGTTGACAAAACTAATTTTCAGCTACCGTTATGCATTATGAATTGAGATGAACATAATATCTGTATATTATTGTGTTTTGGCATCAGTAATTTGATGAAATGGATTATTATTTTATTCTGAATAAAATGTATATTTACTATCACTTTCACAACAATTGACAGTGCATTAAGATATAAGGCAATCCTGAAGCTTATAAAAACGGTAGGTAGCCAAGAATTGCGTCCCAAGTTGAAATATTAAAATTTAATAATTTAACTTATTTAATATATTTTAGATTCTGAGTGAAACGATGAATGTATTGATTTTACAATGATGTGTGTTTTTTTTCATTATTTTTTTAGCATTTCCTATACACCATACAATTTTGAAAATATTTTGACTCTTTTTGAGTTGTTTACGGACATTTTTAGTTTCCAATTTTTTTAGTTTTTTATTCTATAAATATCAATAAAGATTTATCTGTTGGGCCAAACAGTGTAAAAATTTAATACAAGGCTCCTGATATATTGTTACAATATCAGTTGAAAAATATTAAAATACATAGGCACAATTTTTTTTAATAAGCATTTAAAGATCGAATTTTGACAAAATGTATCAAATTTAAAATTGAATAATTATTTTGTAGTTAAAAATGTATAAAATGTTCAACTTTTATATCTAAGGATTTAAAATTTAAAACAAGATTCCACGTAAGCAGTTAATTCTGTTAACAAAAAATATAAAAAATACATAAGCACAGTTTATTTTTATAGTCATTTTAAGTTCAAATTTGGATGAAATTACATAAAAAAAACCTAGAATAACTATTTTAGTTATTTTGTTGTGATTGTATTATTAAATACCGTATTTAGGGTACTTGATACTTCTAAAGTATACTACTATATATCTATGATAGTATCAGGGTTTGTTGTTGACGTATAACGCATTATAAGTACCAAATGGATATTGTGATATGATTAATTTGGAATTTATTATAGGTACCTATTTTTGGTAAATTTTTTTTAATATGATAGATAAGTATATAATATGTCTTATACCTAGACTGACATACCGTCTCCGCTCAGAATCGTTTTTCTTATACAATGATATTATATCATTGAATTCAAATTTAATACTATCCATTATACAGTGACCCACTTGTAACCTACTGTACAGCAGAGCACCTTTTTTAATTTATAGTTAATACATATTAGTTTTTTAAGTTTTGGTTGATATAATTTAACACATATTCAAAGTTTAATTGTCAACTATTTACATATTTAATAATGAATATTTGTAACTCATAAATATTTTAGTCACAAACAATGTTTATAAAATGTTTTTAACTATTTAACAAAATAAGGCATGTCGTACTTTCCCCATAAAACATGTCGCACATTCGCCGTGTGGAACTTTACACGGGGGAAGTGCATAATCGGCTAATATTCAACAAATAATTGTAAATGAATTACTATTAATAATTACAATTATTTTGATGTAAATAATTGTAATTATCAATCTGTTTGTTACATTACCCTATTATTTTGTCTTTTCTATATGCTTATTCTTTTATCACTTGTGCTTATTGTAAACCATTATATTACAGATTGTACAACTGTCTAGTTTAAAAAAAAAAAAAAGATACAACACATATAACTTATGAAATTACATTGTAAATACAATATGAATTATATATTTATATGTATAAAATGTACAAGTTGAATGCACGTACCAAATATTGTGTTATTAAAAATAAGACCGTGAAATAACCGAATATGTTTTTTTGACATTATTTAATATGAAAACGATTTTGTATGAAAATGTACAATAATTTAAGAAAGAAAATATATCATTCAAATATTGGCTCGTCCCCCCTATAGTTATGTTCTGCGACGATGGTGGCCGCGAACGACGGATCCTGTCAAACTGCGTATCTCATCTGACGCACAAATATGCACTAAACAATATTTTATTAGTACCTATAGATAAGAATTAAAAATTTTTTTTTTTTTTTTTTTTTTTTTTATTTATTTGAAGAAATCTACAATCTATACATGCTTTTTGTACAATAAGTAGGTTTGATATAAGAAAGGTAAAAATATGATATGAGTAGTTAGATTAGGGAAGATACCCAGTGGTAACACCCTATAAATTAAAAATTTAAATAAATAATAATATTATAGATGATGGTTTTTCAAAAAATATTACACACTATTTATAAATCACACAAGTTATTGCATTATTAGCAAATTATTACATTATTAGATAAGCATTACAAATTAAAATAAATAATAATATTATAGATACCTAGGTGATGTTTTTTCAAAAAATATATTATACATTGTTTATAAAGTACACAAGTTATTACATTATTAGCAAATCATTACATTGTTAGACATTGCACAATTCATTATGAGGAGACGCTTTTAAGTTATAATATTATATACAGTACCTACTTGGTCTATGAAGAGGAACAGCAACAGCAAAATAACTGCCTGACGTACTTCTTCGTCCGCTTCCAAAACGATCGAGCCGGACGTCCTTGTTTGCCTGACAGCAAACCTAAATCTGGACCGTCGCCCGCAGAACTTTGAAGCACATCGATTTCCCTCGTGGACACTTGGAAGCCTTTGGAATCCCGTCTGCAGAACGGTTCCTCGTGTTCGCCAATGACGGCCGAGCTCACCATGGACACGACGTAGTCGCCCAAATCCGCCTCTCCGTCGTACATAACTGGTTCATACACTGTACAACAGTAAACAAGTTCGATTTTTGTCATAAGTGCTTTTACAACGTCCATCCCGGACACGTTGAAGTAGGTAGTCGTCGTATTGTTGTTGCATATTTTTGTGATGGTTTTGGACGGAAATACGAAGACGGGGACAGCAAAAGCATGGGTACGTACTATCGTCGTCTTAATACAAATTAAAAATTAACTTGACCCACATTATGTTGTTTAAAACGATTAGGTATATGCATAAGTATAATTAATGTTGTTTTATTTTACGAAGAAGTATTAAGTGCATGTCTAAGTATATTTATTAAATTTGAGTAAAATCATTAGTTTAAATTTAAAAACATAATAAAATTAATGAAGCAAGTATCATGTGTAGCATAGGCCACAGTTTTTGATTTTTTTAAGAAGAATATTAATTGTATAGAAAAATATTGATAAATCGTTATACCCATCGTTCCAGTAGCTTATTTAGGGTGGTTGAGCGGGCCACCCCCTTGGTTATTTGTGCAGTATACAACAAGGCTATATAGTATTTATAATATATATTATATTATGGTATATAATCTAGTTTATACTACTTGGTCTATGAAGAGGAACAGCAACAGCAAAATAACTGCCTGACGTACTTCTTCGTCCGCTTCCAAAACGATCGAGCCGGACGTCCTTGTTTGCCTGACGGCAATTCTAAGTCCGGGCCGTCGTCGGCAGAACTTCGAAGCACATCTATTTCCCTCGTGGACACTTGGAAACCTTTGGAATCCCGTCTGCAGAACTGTTCCAGTACGTCCTCGTGTTCGACAATGACGGCCGAGCTCACCATCTCCACGACATATTTTCCCAAATCGCCTCCATCAAACTCTTCTATAGTCTGGTTCATAGTCTGTAGAGTAGATGAGAGCTCACTTTTTGTCATAAGAGCGTTCACAACGTCCATTACCGAGACTTTAATGCACTGATAGAATGTTATATAAACGGTTGTTATAAATTATTATTATAGGTGACACAGATAGAATATGAAGATTTTTCAAACACTCACATGTACATGGCAACAAAATTGTGTTGTTTTTGTAAGTCTGAAAGTTTCTAGATTTTTTGACATATTATACGGGAACGATAATTATTTATTAAATTGTCGTTTTGAGTTATACTATTCGAAAATGCAAAACTAAACCTTTTTTTATTGCTTAAATAATATCTATGATTTGTAAATTTGGGAAATAATATTGGATACTTATGGCCTATGGGTATGACCGAAAAAAATTAGAATATATACAAATCTAAATTTGCTATTTTTAAAGTTAATGTGAGCTGCTGTGCCCAGTGCGATATTTTTAAAAAAAAACCGGCCAAAATATTATATAAAGATACCTAACCGAACTTTTTTAAATTGATTTTTAATTTCATAAATATATTTTTGATTTTTAAGAAAATACGTCTTATTGTTACATTATAATACTTACAAATTTACAATAACGAAAAACTCGAGGAAAACAATTTAAATCTCCAAAAGTTTAGCAATAGGATAAAACAGATTAGTAGTCATATACTCATATATATGATCAATATAATACTATGCAGAATTATTATCGTACAAGTTATTTTTTAAATAAGTATTTCATAGTAAATTTTTGTACAATAAATTTTAAACTTTGAACGAATGTAAATATTATTTGTCAATTTTACTATTCTACATTTTTGAATAATGATTGTAGGTGTAACACGTTTAAAAATTTACAATTACCTTACTTGGGACACAATTCGTGTGCTCCCTATAAAATATACATTAGTAACGCAGATATCTCCTCCATTTTTTATATTCAAGTTTTAATAATTTATTTAATAAAAAAACAAATTTTAACACACAACAGTAAACGAGGACAATTTGGATATATTTTTTTATTTTATTATTTCATTAAATACATTATGAATTAACAAATATGTAAATCTGGTACCTATTCAGAAAAGTTTTAATTGTAAAAACATTTACTTACTTAAGTCATGAAGTTTATTTTTATAATTTTTAGAAATCTCAATATTTTTGTTAAATAAAGTTGATTTATTCGTAAAAAACATTTTAAATTCAAAAAGTATAAATTGTTAAAAGTCTTTTATGAGGTTTATCTAAATATTTTTTTTAAAAGAAATTATTTTTCAAATGAATTTCTTATTTCAAAAAAATCATAAAAAAATAATCCACCTGACTTAGATAAATGTTTTGGTTGTAAAAAGTATTCTAAAAACCAGATTAAAATATTGGATATTTTTAAATTTTGAATAAAAATTTAAATCAGTTTTTAAATTTTATTTAGTATTAAATAAAGTATTCAAAAATACAAATAAAAAATTGCACGAGTCAATTAATTTATATAGAAAAAAAAAAAAAATCTTGATTACCTAGATGTCTTAGAACAAAAGTTATTGCATTTGTCAGGCATTCTTGTTTCCTATCTGTAAATGTAATTAATTTTTTTATTTAAAAAGATACTACCTATATAATAATTATAAAATGGTTTATTTTCAAATGTTAATTTATGTAAGCACATTAATTTATAATTTATATTTCACTATTTTGTGTTTTCAAGCTTCTTTTACAGTTTCTATTTATTTTTCAGTTTATTATTTTATCAGATTAAATTGTGTTTAATATACTTATAATAGGTATCTCGTATCTATAACCAACATCATTATTTGCAGGGAAAAAATATCATGATTGAATCATTTTAATACCAGTATTGTGAACTAAAATTATAACAATAAAATCATAAAAGTAATTCTTACAGAACTGTTAAATCCAGTGGTAATTCAATTTTTTTTAGTGAGACAAGAAAATGTCAGGTGCACCACCCACATATTTTATTCACTCAGTACCATATGTGTGCACCCACACAACACAACGTTCATGGCAAATTTATTCTACTGCAAATTGTCATATTATATTTCAATAAAAATATTTTTTTTATTTATATAAATACCTACTGCAATAAATTACTATATACTGCGATAATGAAATGGCATCACTAGATATTAAAAAATAAATTCAAATAATGGATATTTTTATATATTTATACTATAGTATTGTTTAACATACATACAGATATATTGTGCATATAATATACCTATATTTGAATGTTAAATCTAGGGTTATTCACACTAAATTCCAATTCTAAATATTAAAAATTACTTATTAAAATATAAGTTTTTGCAATATATTAACTATTACCTAACTAAATATAATAAAATATTGGCTGACCGATTGTTTCCTCTCAGATTTGTTTTTCACTGTATATTCTCACTAAACAAATAACAATAATTTATCAAATTATGGAGGTCGAGCCACCAATCTACACTAGATAAGTACCTACAAGTTACAACCTACTATTATACAGCAGAGTAATTTTTGTTTTCAACTATAAAAATTATGTATCAATGTGTCAACGGCCGATCGCCCTGTTGTGATGATAAGTTGTTAAACTGTTCACAGAATAATTTATTAGTCATTTTACACAAATAGAGACAAGTAGACAACACAACAGTGAACATAATAATATTATCAGTGTAGAGGTTTTTTTTTTTTTTTAAGATAATTGAGAAAACATCAGACATCAGTAACAGACTATTGAGTTTATTATGCCGGATAGCATGAACTAAACATATTTTATTGAATAAGTGAGCTATAAAAAAATAGCTACGAAAAATAGCCGCTTGGCGCGCGACGATCGCGGCTCACTTTTCGCCTCGCTTACTTTTTTTTTTATAATAGTCCCTTAAACATGATTTAGTAGTCCATGATTGGTCTATTACATTTTATTTAACCATTAAATTAATTGATTATTCATGGAACCTGGCGTAGTTTATTATTTTGTATGTCTTTACTTGATTAAATATCCCAGCTACACTTTACAACTTCCATCATAATTTACTCTGAAGCAAACCGATCCACAGATCCACCTTTTTATTTCATGGAATACCACTGGAAAATGTTATATAATTGCTATTTTTATTAATTTTGTACATTATTTTATTTTTAATAGTTGTTACTAATTAATAATTATTGTATTAAGATTTTTAATAGCAGTAGTTACTAGTTCAAATTTGGGTAGAATTTAGATGTACGTTTTGGATTTAAATATTATCATTGATAAAATACATAATACTTACTTAATCAATTATATAATATATTACTCATAGTATGAAATAAGTTTTATATTTTTAATTTCATGTAACATAATAATATAATATGGTGTATCTACTATCTAGTGTGTAGTGGAGATTTAATATCTATTACTACACAATATGTATAACCAATAAAAAATCATAAGATAGTTGATATTTATTAATTTTTTTTTTGTTTGCTTCAAAATAATTCATTGCATCACACTTACTAAATTGTTTTGGAAAAATACTATATAAAAATATATCATAGGATACTATTGGACAGTTCTTTCCAAATTAAAACTCAATTTAAATGCTGTGTTTTTATTTTATGAAATCATAATCACTATACATTTATAATACCTTCATTAAAAATAAAGTTTTTCCAAACAGTTATAAAAGGTTTTTTTTTATAAAGCCAAGTAACAAGGAACTTTAAATCAAATTACTTCAATTAATAATATAATAATTTAACAAATAATAGTTGTATTGTGCTATTTATGAATAAGAGATATTATTAAATCAATTATAATAAAATTGTGATCATTAAAAAAAAAATGAGACAAATACACTTAAGAAGATTAACTAACACTTGCACCATAATATAAAAAAATTACATAAAATTTCAAATAAATTTATTCAACAGGAATAAAAGTAATAATAGATTGTATTTGTATATAAGAATAAGATGACTTAAACATTTGATTTAGAGTTCTTACCTATTGGTTTCCAGAACAAAATTCTTCCAGTCTTACCAAGGGGACTAGTTTATAATAATTTTATACTGATAAGTAATATATATGTGTATTTTTTATACTCAAATGTTAGGTATATTAAAAACATGTTTTAAAACTAGAAATAATATAATCTTCTTGAATTATGCTCTAATATCATTTGTAGTATTGTATGAAGGTGGGGGTACATCAGGATGGGTAGCATTGTCTTCTCCAACAGCAACAGCGTAAGAAGGTGGTGGAGGAGGAAACTTTTTCATGTTAAAATCATAATCCGGGCGTAAAAGATTCTGAACAACAAAGTTTGATTCTATATAATGTATAGTTGGTTGAGCTGAACTTCGCTTTAACATCAGATACTTGTAACAACTCCAAACTACACCAATAAAATATCCCTAGAATAAAATAAAATAATTATTTAAATATAAAAAAAAAACTTATTTAAAAATAAAGTGTTAATATTTTCTGTGAAATTAAAATTACAATTAAAAAAATAGTTTTAAATTAATTTTAAAACGAAGATGCAACATAATAATCTGTTAACACATTTGCAGCACCTGGCAGCTATCTATTGAATTATTGCATTATTTTCATTAGAAGTGTTTTAAAAATGTTACGCTTTGCTAGATTACTCGTACATTCTTTTATATTTTATTTTATCCTACCCATTTAAAAATAATTGTATGCTTTAGGGTTCTTATTTGGGTTATTCTTGAATTCTTATGTTGACTGGCAAAAATTTATTTCTAAAAAATAAATGAAAAATGTTGAAACAATATGTCCCTCCTAACTCAATTCTTTCATTCCGCTGTATTAGCTTATGTTTAACATTACAAATTTTTCTGAAAAAAAAAATTAAACAGGTAAAATTTCAGTGGGAAGAATATGAAATAGTCAAGAAGTTAAAGGTTTGTGGTCCACATTGATGCAAACAATTTGTCTGTATAATGTTTGCAATTTTTTACGTAACACGAACAAATGTGATTATCGT